TGTTGAAAAACAGAGTTCTACATATAACATATTCTTAAGGCAAAATGCTCGAGGAAAAACAAAGATATTTCCCCCTTTTTTCGGAAAATTGAGGGGAAATCTCCATTGAAAATTTATCGGGTCCTTCTCATTGATAAAATTTATCACGGGTACTTTTCCCCAATTTTCTCTTTTTTCAGAGAAAAGTTACCATTCATAAATTTGAACCAGATAATTTGTACTCAGCATACTTGATTATGTGGCTCTGCTCTTGTCACAACAGTTGGTATGGTTTCATCCCACCACAATCTTGCAAATGGTCTAAACACATCAACAAAACCATTCCAGCATCAGTGTTTCGAAAACTAGGCCCGTTCTACATTCAAATTAACTAAGTACGAAAAGGTTAGATCCAAATCATCATAAGGATTACTTACTTGGATGAAGAACCATTAATAAAGGACATGGCATAATCTGGCACCTATGGAAACAATTCAAGAAACAAAGTAGAGATAAAGATCAAACATCATAGAATTATAGAATGAAAAATCATAGGAGAATTCATGAATGGATAAGCACACAAGCTTATTACCAGTGGCTTTCCTGATTCTAAATATACACGTTCTACATCAGGGTCCCATTCAACCCTGTTATCTGATCGCACACGTACACCAGGTAAGTCCCTGAAATTTGCACCCTAGTGGGCAAAAAAATAACCAATGCTGAAAATTAACATTATAATCTTTTGTATGAACACCTTTTTTCTTGAAATAAGTATGTCCATTAGATAAAGAACCTTTCTTCTGGGGATCTGACACACGCGTTGATAATCGTCGTTATTTAATTCAAGTGGACGATGATCATATATCATCTTCTTTATTGATTTTGAACTCTCTGGAATGCCTAACATTTCTGCAAAAAGCACACGTCTTAATCTAGCAGCCGCATATAACAACAGGAGTAAATTGTCATTAAAAATAAGTGCTATATAAATTCTATCTACAAACAAATAACTTTAACCATTTAATGTATCATTACCATTTCTGTTTAATCTAATAAACCGCTGAAACTCTGTCTGGGGAGGTTTACTATAGGGTATCTCATCACGACTTTCATCATTTTCAACCTGAAAAACTTGTAAAATGGCAACAAGTTACATACCAACTATTAAACAGTCATTACAAAGCAACAACAAACAGAATGGTTAAACCATACAGGAGGTAGATCAGAGATTGCATCTTGTAACAAAAGCTTTTTCTGCAACTGGACATCTGCTCCCGCGTCATGACCAACAAGACTTGTCTGCATATGATGTGTCATTCAGCAAATCACCTCAATCAAAAGGTACAAATCCAGATAGCTAAGAAATTTCCTAGATGTATAATTACCTCAAACTCTAAAGGAATGACGCCTCTTACTACAACATCATGAGTTGGAAGTGGAAACTGAGGAAGCTTCTGCATCAAGTGAATTAAAAACAATTAACATGAACTTCAAGACTCAGCTCAAAAAAAAAAAAACTTCAAGACAAAAAGATACAAATTACTACTGTACCTCAGAAGGACGGGCCCCCAAAGAAAAACACGAAGGCGAAACTGGGGGAGACCGTAGGCGCCAGCGGCCATGATTCCCATGCGACTCTGATAGTTCATCTGAAGCAACCGACCCAATGCATACCTCCCAAGAAATCCATTAGAAAACTTCACGAGATCGACGACGTTTTCCATCAATACAAACTTAGGCTTCAAGTATTCTACAATGTCCATGAATACAACAAGTTGCTTATTTTTTTCATCGCTCAAAGGACTTTCTTTGTTCCGGAAGCGGTTAAAACCACTAATGCCTTGGCATGGGGGTCCGCCACAAATCACATCAGCATCTCCCTAAATATCAAATGTGATGGTAGAAAAGTCAAACACTGAACATAACGTCAGCCTTTTCGTTTGTACAATTCAAGCCAAACTTACTGGTAAAGGTAAGATCTTCTTGTTGAAGCCTTCAATGACAAATTCCTTTATAGTTTTCTTGCAATTACTGTAGTAAAACCAATACTTAAATAAGTTAAGTTCGAATCGTTATATAAACCATGGAAGCACTGGGAAAAAACCAGATACGGTCCAATTTGGCATCGCAAGGCTTGTCTAAAAGTCAAACTTCATTAGACCAAATTATTGGGTGGCTAAAATTATTTATTTAAGCAAAAGTGCACCAACATACAAAGCCACTTTGCGGTCATATTGAGTTCAACTCATCATTCCATAGGATACACCAATTTGTAAGTTTAAATAAGCTATATTCCCTTACCAAAAAAAAAAGCTATATTCAAAAAATTCAAAATTTGCATCGCTAGTAGGATTCCGACCATTCAAACTAACCATCCATATCAGTTATCTTCAAATTTGGACTACATTATTTTGCTGAATTAAATTGCAATGTGCACTGCATGCATTTACTTGAATAACTACATACAGCATATGACATCGTTTTAAGATTATTCATATTTTCTCTTACCTTAGACCCTCAATTGGCTCCCAAGTGTCTTCGTCAGAATCATAACCCTTCCAGCTGACCTATATGAACATATTAAAATAAACAAAAGTGTTTTCAACTTCAGTGGTAGAAGACAATGAAAGCAGGGTGACGGTATAAGTTTAATCAATTGAAAGACAAAGATACAAAGTGAACAAACCTTCAAGTGCAAACCCTGCTCTTTTTTGTTATTTGGATCGCCATAGCATATGGCAAGCACTTTTGAAACTTCAAATACTTCACCTTCTTCATCACTTTCATCTTCTTCACTGTCGGTATCGTCATCATCTTCTTCTTCTGCTGCGCTAAAGAGATCATCGTATTGATGAGGTACATTGCTTTTGATCAAAGAAAAATAATTACATAGTTTCTCCCACTCCTTCAATAATGATAGGAAATTTTCAGCCATTTCGTTTCTAACCTGATTTGCAAGGTAAAGATGTGTAGAAGTTAGCATACAAGAACATCATGGCACAGTATCAGTTACAGCTAAAAAGTAAATTCATGCATAAAACAACAAATAAATAATGATAGCTACCTCTGTTTCAGGATGGTTCATTTCCAGACACTGAGAAGCATATCTGTTCAGGTCCACAGCCCATTTCTATTAAAAAACGAGAAGCTAATATCAGGTCGAGGCAATAAGAATATAAATGTATGTTGTGAAATTTTTGGTAAAGGGATGACTTACAGTTACAAGGTTCAAACCAGACAAAATTCCACCGTGACACAGACCAGTAGACATTGCACCACAACCTGAGTATAAATCTAGTAATTTGACCTCTTGTTCTTTATGTTCTTCAACTTGAGAAACTTCTTCAAGCATAGAGTTATGCACAGATCTTCCTTTTACGTCCACCTCAGAAGATATGGTTGATGATGTCTCACTAGCAGTTTCTCGACTCTCTGAGTTAATGCACCAGTTATGAGAAGCAATCCGAATTGATCGTTAACAAAGAAAAGGATACAGATAAGAGAATAACCTGATGGCAGGTTAACGAATGTGGAGTATGGCAGAAGATACAGCGTATCACAGTAATAATCACAGGGTGGGATTAATTTCTTCTTGGCATCCAAATCCATCTGTAAATAAACACACAAGTAAAAATTTACCACACACAAGAACACGACTGAAAAAAAAAGAAAAGAGAACAAAAGACAAAGAAAGAAAATGTGCAATTTGATGGTGTACATTTAGAGGTACTCTAGCAATGTTTAGCCTTTCAACAAGACAATCAAGAGGATTATCATCCCGAATTTCTGAAAAGAAAACTCGCTTTGGATCAATTAAATATCCAAGGTTCTTGATAACCTGGAAAAGTAGGAGGAAACATACAAAATTAGTAAAATAGCACGCATAACAATGGTTTTCAAATTCTGATTTGATAAGAATAAAAATATATCTTACAGTGTCTTCCGCCCTATAATACCATTGTGCTGTGAAGTACAATGCACCATCAACAGCTTCAAACATTTCAACGATCTTACAAATATAATTCAGCTTCCCATCTTCAGCCTAAATCAACATGTATATACGACATCATAAAAATGTTAGTCACAAAAAATACGAGGCACACCTTGCAGAAACAAGTTGAATTATACAATGAATCCAACATCTACTTATGTACATAAAAGCAAACAAGTGAAAGTCAACATATTGAAAATCCCCTGCCTTTTAAATGCCATCAAGTTGAGACTTGAGAGGTCCACCTATAATATCCTATTGTAACATTCACTTCTTTGATCCATAATGTATCTCAACAACAAAGCAGAAACCGAGACGACGACAATAATAAGTGTTATACCACCAGGTAAAAGCAAAAATTGAGACATGACACAAAAGTATGGGATTGGCCAGAATCTTTTATGACACAACTTGTTACAATATTTTCACAAGGATAGGCTCAATTGGTTGACCTATTGTTGAACAGTGTAATTAAAAAGTTGAGCATAATGACACAACGTAATTTATATAGCCAACCCCACTTAGTGGGATAAGACTTGTTGGTGGTGGTCACGTATAGGCTCAATTGGTAGAATTAACCTGTGAGGATTTTTGGATCTACTCATATTAATGATCCTAAGCTAATGAGCATTCACTAGTTGCAATGCAACCTTGCTTGGAGTTGCAACAACTTATTTGACTCCTAATGTTTCCCAACCCAAAAAGCAGCTACTTCGATATACAATTCCTAACCAAAGTTAGCTAGAATAAAACTTCACTTATAAGTTATGCATGGCATTGTCACAAATTATTCCAATCTAACAAAAGTAATTTGAAGTTAAACATGATTTGGAGGTTAAAATGGGAGATCAATGGAAAAGTTCAAATATTTGAGATCGATTATACAAAAAAAAAAAAAAAAAAAGTGAAATTGGTAGAGATGTTAACCGCAGAATTCAAGTTTGATGGTTTAAATGAAAAAAAGCTACTGAACTTATGTATGATTGAAAGGTACCTAATAAAGTAAAAGGAAAATTTTATCATACTAGTATGAATCCAGCAATGCTATACGGTAGCAACTATGAGACTTTAAAGAGACAACAAGAGCATAAAATAGGGGTAGCAGACTGGCAATGATAAAGATGTTGAAATGGATATGTGGTCATACAAGGAAAAATAATATTATAAATGAACATATATGAGAAAAGGTTAGAGCAGCATCTACTAAAAAGAAAATAGGAGAAAATCATTTTAAGGCATAGAAAGAAGGTCATTAGGTGCGCAATGAGTAGGGCAGATCAAGTCATATAAAACCCTCTAAAAAAAGGTAAAAGAAGATCAAGGAGAACACTCAATGACATTATGGAGCAAGAACTTTTAATTAACAATTTATTTAAAGATTTGGTTATTGATAGAGCACAGTAGTATCATGCAACCTATATAGCCAATCCCACCTAGTAAGGTAAAGCTTATTGTTCTTATAACAAAAGTAATTGTGCAAATGTCAATGGTTATCTATATAATGAATGATTTTTTTTAACTCACTTTCACATGAGCATCATCATTAAGCTTGTAATCAATACAATCATCTACTTCTGCTTGTGTATAGTGTCGGCGAGCTTGAATAATCTCCTCGTCAACATCACTACACATAAGACGTATGTCAAAACGTCAAAAGAAGATTGGAACAAATATTTAAATGTTAACAATAAAAAGGAATTCTACTCAATGATGGATGTAATACCAAAATCAACATATCAATGTCAACAAGTTTACAATCCAACGTTAACTTACTTGTTTGCATTTGATCCAACAGATTGCCTCTTTTTCTGAAAATGAAAATAAGAATTTTACATTGAAATTAAAATTGATAGTAGTGGAAACAAAAGATTCGTCAGGAAAACTCATCTAAAATTACACACACACACACACACACAAAGATTGATGGCAGACTATTGTTTTGAAATAGATCTCAAATTTCATCTTCTGTATTAAAACACCAGCTACTCGCCTCGTGATTTATTCAATAGGCAGACTTAACCACTTCACCATCATAAGAAATCTCCATAAACCAAAATTACACGTAAAAAACATTTTACAATTTACAATGCACACATAAACCAAGTACTTGTTGCAAAATGGGATTCTCAGGGGTCAGTGGAGTTGAAGTTGTATGGGATATAGGACTAATAATAGAGGGTAGGTTTGACTAATTTTTTTTCAAAAAAATGGCCACGTCGCAACACAACAGGAGAGAAATATTTCCACAGAAGAATATGGTTTACTTTCTCAGCTAGCCTTGCCTCAATGACCCAGACAGAGTATATAAACGCACATTAAATGATGCTCTAGCATCAAATTACGTTAGCGACGAACCAAACTTTCTCAGAAAGAACGTATAAAAATCCAGGAGATACCTGAGGATGCACCATTCATAATCCTACTCCTAACGTATTTACAATTTAAAAGACTTTGGGTCCTATGCGCCGTTCAAAACGGTGGAGGATACCCGAGGATGCATCATTCAAAATGCACACCCAAACAGGCAATAATGTCAGCCATTAACCAACAAGAGCTATCTCGTGTGAACACAGAGATGGCCAACACTCTCCTTCCCCCACAAACGTGAACTGGAGTAAACAGGTCCACGCCTATCCAATCGCCCCTTAAAACCAACACCAGGCAAGAGCTATCGCTACAAAATCCCTTAATCCATTCGACACGTTCCTTCCCCCAGAAACGTGAATCAGAATAACCAGGTCCATGTCCATCCAGCCACCATGACACGAATGCTATCGCGACGAAATCCCTCAGATCCATTTATTTACACATAGATGGACCGCCCGTCCATCAGAAAACTCAAATGAAAACAAGAAAGAAATGGAAAGGACGACAAAAAAAAGGACACAGCACAGACATCCTCCCATCCGGCATAAGCCAGAGAAGGAGACGCCATGACACTCGCCCGCAGGACAATAGCCAAACTCCCGCCGCTTCTTATTGATAATTCTTTATTGAGGCGGGTAGTAAAGTGTTAAGGTAGTAGGAATCTCTCTTTATTCAGTGCTATGAGTTCTTCTTGAAGTTCAACTGTACTGGTTCAATATAACAGACATCTAGCTAAAATAATTTAGTTCTAATATGATAAAATCAAGCGGAAGCGGGAATCGATTGAATATAGTTATCCTAAATTGAAGAGTAATGGAGATTGGGATAGAGTCCCGGTGCTGAAAACAGATTGCTTTTGTTCGCTGAATCGAGCTCCCTCATGGCTGTTTGCCTTAACGCATTGGGGGAGACATCATAAACCTAATTTATCTCTTTTCTTTTTCTACAGGTACCGAAAATGAAGTTTTCAGCTCATAATGGGGAATCCCAAAAACAGTTCTTTGAAGAAAAAAAAATTAGTTTCGCGAAAATGAGGATACTTTAGAGTTTAAATTAGGAAGCTTTACAGGGAAAATATACCTTTCCATTCCCCTGGTACCGATGGGGCCAGCGTTGCCTTGCTTCCTGATCGGCAACTGGTTCACCGAGAAATCTACCAGTAGGATTATCAGCACTAGCACGAGTCTTTGAAGAAGGAAGTAGTTCGTCTGCCCCACGCTCCAACTCCTCCGTCTTCTTGAACTTCTTGGAAGGCTTGCCAGAGGCTGAAGCAGAACCAGCGCTGGACTCTGTTCTGCGTTTGCTCGGCATGGCTGATGCGCCCAGATCGCGGCGGAGGAGAGAAGCAGGGTTGTGCTGTGGCCACGACACGCGGGAGAGAAGGATTCTTATGTAAATGAATGCCAGAAAGATGAAGGAATTTATAGAAGGCGCTCAATTTTAAAGATGGTGGGAGGAGGGCGGGAAGGCGAAATTCAAGGCATGTTGACTTTAATGACCTTTGTGAACGTTAAGGGCCTCCGGCGTGTTTGGCGATGAGCCAAATTAGCGAAGCAAATAGTTTCATGAAAAGGTGAATATCTCAATGTAATAATTAAAATTTATTTACATTACGCTTTTTTTTTAATTTGCAAAATATGTGAAGTTTTCAGTTACTTATTATGAGGGCCTAGGTGTGGGAAAAGACTATTAATGCGCGGATGCATGTGTGTTAATGTGTACACGTAATTCATATAAGAGATAGTAAATAATAAATGCGAGCAAAGGAGAATGAATCCATTTGTGATTTGATATTTTAAGTTATGGTATTTTATTCTCTTTATGCATAAATTATAAGTGCAGAAATTCAAATTGGATATATTACTAATTTTAACTGAAATTGTGATAAAAATTATTTTATTAGGAAAAATTGTAAAAAAAATACCTCTTGAAAATCAAAATTTCAAATGAGCTTTGTTTACCATATTTTAATAACAAGTGACAACACTTGAAAAGCAAATAATAATATATTTTTATAATAATTTCTGATTTAGGATTTTAAAATTTAAAAGGTATTTTTATCCAACTAATTAGAGGCAGAGGCCTCATGCAGTGTATAAAGATCTAGAAATTTAAGCGTAATACTTTTTACTTTCTTTTTTTTTAAAGGGAAAACCATATTGGAGGTACCTATACTTTTTTTTAATTTTCAATTTGGTACCTATATGTTTTTTGTTCTTAACTAAATCTTTAGTTTTCCTCTATTAACATTATTAATCCTTATGTAGAGACTAAAAATATCAATAGAACAAAGTTATAAGAGCTAATGTTGCTAAAAAGATAAAATTAAATGTTTAATTAAAGAGAAAAAAACACATAGATACCAAATTAAAAATTGAGAGAAAGTATAGATACCTTCAATATGGTTTTCCCTTTTTTAAATAACAAAAGGCCTCGGGTAACATATGAAGACCTAGAAATATGGGCACATATTCTAAAATAGAAAACCAATAAGTACTAGCTGTATAAGAAATGGTATTTTTTAATAGAAACAATATTTTAATATAATTTTGATTGAGACTAAGACAAAAAAACTTATTTTTTTTGTCCACTTCATTTGTTATTAAATATAAAATGTAATCGGGAGTTGATTTGATTCTAAATATAAGATTTTCATCTATTTTTTTTCAAAATTTAAATTTTCTTTGTATACCACTGTCCCTTACGTTGCCAACTTTAAAAGGGATTTATAAATTATAATTTATTTTTTATAAATAACTAATTTAACTAATTTTATATATATTAATAAATATATTTAAAATCAAAGGAGTATTTTGTAAAACGGCGAGAGGCCTCGTGCTATGCATGATGGCCTGGAAACATGTGAGAAGAAAATCAGTAAGCGTTACTGTATAGCTTAGAAATATGTGCATAGAAAATCAACAATAAACGTTCCTTGATAAGAAACAGTTTTAATAGAAACCGTATCGTGTATGAGGGCCTAAGAAAATCAGTTAGCGTTATTTGTATAAGAAACAATTTAAAATACGAAAGGCTTCGTTTATTGTATGAAGGCCTGGAAATATGGGCACATATTCCAGAGCATTAGCTGTATAAAAAATGATATTTTTTTAATAGAAATTGTATTTTAAGATAATTTTAACTGAGATCAAGACAAAAAAACTGATTTTTTTTTTTATTCACCTCCTTTGGTCTCAAATGTTGAAGCTAACTGAGGAATGATTTGGTTTTAAATATAATATTTAAATCTGTCATGTCTTTCAAATTTTAAATTTTTTTATATGTTATTGTCGCTTACTTTGTGCATTTTAAAGGGAATTTATAAATTGTAATTCATTTTTTATGAGTAATTAATTTAATTAATTTTAATTATATTAATAAATATATTTAAAACTGAAGGATTATTTGTTAAAACAGCAAGAGGCCTCGTGTTTTACATGATAGCCTAGAACATTTGTGCGCAGAGAATCAGCAAGTGTTACTCGCATAAAAAACAATTTTAATAGAAACTGTATCATGTAAAAGGGCCTAGAAATATGTGTACAGAAAATTAATAGTAAAACGTTTCCTGTATAAGAAACAATTTTAATAAAAACAATATCATGTATGAGGTTCTAGCTAGAAATATGTGTAGAAAATCAGTAAGTGTTATTTGTACAAGGAGAAATTTTAAAATAACGAGACAGTTGGAAATATAGGCGCATATAGGAGTGTTCACGGGACAAAGATAATCCTGTCCCAATCTCATCCCAATAATTGGGATGGGATAGCTTTTTCGTCTTTTGTCCTGTTCCATCCCATTCCAATAGGAACGTCCCATCTCTTTTTTTTAAATTTAAAAACTAACTATGTAGAAAATATAAAAACTTATAATAGAAATTATGTGAGGAAAATAGATAAAAATGAGGAAACAATAACAAAGAAAATATTTTTTGTAATCATGAGAGATAAAAAATAAACAAACCTAAAATATTCACTACAAAAAATATCATATAACCCATACAAAAATAACTTATAAACATATAAAAATAACAATTGATAAATACCATTACCAAAATACTATTACTATGGTAAATAAAATAAATTTATAACAACTAAAAATAAAGATAATATATTGGGATAGGACGCCTTGTCCTGCGTCCTGTCCTTCCCGAATAATTTTATTCCATTCTGCTTTCATCCTGTCCCAAAAAAATGACTAGGATAGGGACAAGACGTTAAGACAGGACACAGTTGAACACACCTATGTGCATATTCTAATATAGAAAATCAATGAGCATTAGTTGTATAAAAAATAGTTTTTTAATAGAAACTGTATTTTAAGATAATTTTGACTGAGATTGAGGCAAAAAACTGAATTTGTTTCATTCGCTTCCTTTGGTCATAGAAGTTGATTGGGGATTGATTTTGTTCGTTTTAAATATAAGATTCAAATCTACTATGCGTATCAAATTTTAAATTTTCTTTATATACTATTGTCTCTTACTTTGCTCATTTTAAGGGGGATTTATAAATTGTAATCCATTTTTTTATAAACAATCAATTTTATTAATTTTATTCTTATCAATAAATATATTTAAAACTAAAAGAGTAATTTGTAAAACAACGAGAGGCCTCATGCTATGCATGATGGGTTAGAAATATGTGCGCAGAAAATCAACAAGAAGCATTACTTGCATAAAAAACAATTTTAATAGAAACTATATCATGTATTAGGACTTAGAAATATGTGCACAGCAATCAACAGTAAACGTTCCTTGTGTAAGAAACAAGTTTAATAAAAATCGTTTCATGTATGAAGGCCAAGAAATATGTGCATGGAAAATCAGTAAGTGTTATTTGTATAAGGAGCAATTTTAAAATAACGAGAGACCTCGTGTAATATATGAAGGCCTAGAAATATGGGGGTATATTCCAAAAAAGAAAATTAGTAAGCATTAACTCTATAAGAAATGGTATTTTTTTAATAGAAACTGCATTTTAAGACAACTCTAACTAAGATTAGGATGGAAAACTAAATTTTTTTATTTACTTCCTTTGGTCTTAAATGTATAAGCTGGTTGGGGGTTAATTTAATCATAAATATAAGATTTTAATCTACTTTATATTTTTAATTTTAATTTTTTAATATACTGCTATCCCTTACATTGCACGTTTGAAAGAGGATTCATAAATTATTATTTTTTAATAAATAATTAATTTAACTAATTTCATTCAGTTTGATAAATATATTTAAAACTAAAAGAGTATTTTGTAAAATAGCGAGAGGTCTCGTGCCATGCATGAGGGGCTAGAAATATGTGCGCAGGAAATCAGTAAGCGTTGCTTGCGTAAGAAACAATTTTTATAGAAATTGTATCATGCATGAGGGCCTGGAAGTATGTGCGTAGAAAATCAGAAAGCATTATTCATATTAGAATTTTTTTAATAAAGATCGTATCATGTATGAGGACTTAGAAATATATGAACAGAAAATCAATAAGCGTTATGTGTATATTATTAATTTTGACTAAAATTAAGAGGAAAATAAATTACCCATTCTCATAATATTCCTAAGGCCATGGTCAGTGGTCACTCTCTCTATCCTTGAAACGGAACAACTCGATCCAATGATAGTTACAAAAATCTCCAACTTCCTCCTTGACTATGATAATCTGGGAGATCCCTAGTCAAAATATTGTAACATTTTTTTTTTGCTTTCGCCTTCGGTGTCCAGCACCTTTTTTGAGTAACTGACTAATCCGGAGCGTCCCAGTGAAGGGATTTCCCAGGATTCGAGCCTTAGACCTGGTGGGTACGCGGCGCCTTACCCTCCCCTTATCGAACCAGTTGGACCAACCCTCCTGGGCCAAAATATCATAACATTGAGCATTAGTGGCATGCACTTATATGCTTTGCACTCCTTTTTCCCAGCAGTAACAAAGGCCAATAGCAATCGCTTTGAGTTCACATATATGTATATGAGAAAGCATAATCTCCATCTTCTTGTAGAAGATATACACTCACTCCCACTCTTCTTCTATTTTCTAGGTTGCCCCTCCACAAATAAATTCTCTTGCTGAAGCATAAATCCTTAATAACCGTTAAAGCATTTTCTCTCTGCCTTCTGAAACGTAGTTGTTGGTTATTAAAAGTATGCAGCGGTCTTTGTTCTTGGATCGCTCTTAATACAGTGGTTTGTATACTTGTATTTAGCTCATTTTCCTCAATTCCAATGGTCCATGTCATCTTAATTCTGGAATAACCAACATCTTCCATTTTTAGGTTCCATTTATCCCATTCAATTTACATCCCACCTTTAAAGCCTTGCCAAAATTCTGATCCCACTAACTCTCTCCATTTTCCCTCAGCTGCCTCGCAATCTCTGAACAAGTGCAAAACAGTTTCTTCTTCAGGAAACCCACAAGGGCATTGTGAAGATTTAATCGTTCCCCTTTTCTATCTTAGCTTCGCTGTATGGTCTGCTTCATGCAAGACTAGCCAGTTGCACTTAAAAGTAAAAAAAAAACAAATTTTACAGTAAAAAATGTCATCCACAGACTGCTTCTAGTAATATTCCTCACTCTCACTGAACCCTCTTTTTGGTTTTGTGAGAGCAATAGTGTCCACCACAATATTAGGCAGCCAACAACTCATTCCAATCACCCGATGGTCTCAAGTAATCTCCTACCTTTCATTAATGTCAACCAAACCCACAAGTCCAGCCATCGTATCTGCGAGACTTGAGGTATGATCGATCCAGTGTGCACTCCAAAAAGGAGCATCTTCATTGAACGTCTTTCTACTTCCCACTCCTTTCTTAAATTTTTCCCGTATCACACTAAATTACTAGCTAATTCCCCTCCAAGTCAGAGAGGTATTCTGTTTTCTCTTAACTTCAGGCAAAGCTTTCTTCCAAGTTTATATTTAGCATTAAGGACTCAAACCCCAAATTTATGTGGTTTGGTAACAAGATTATAACAAAGCTCCCTAATAAGAGCTTTACTCCGTTTCCTGTCCTTAATGCCTGCAACCCTTTCCTCTTTTACGATTATTGCTATGACTTCTTTCCACGGGAGAATAGAATGTTTAGCTCTCTCCCTTCCCCACTCTCTCCTTAAAGAAAACCCCTCCTCTTTTTTCTCAATCTCACCCGAAATCTTCCTGGGAATTAGCATAGTCTGCATGGAATGCCCAGCTAAGGTAAAAACTTTCCTTTCCAGCAGTAAGATATCCTCTTCCTGGTTTTCTCAAGTAAGGGAGTAAACATACTAGGAGGCCCATGTACGAATAATAGGAATTTCCAGATATTTTCCAAAGGTCACCTGGGAGCTTGGTCAACTTACATGCTCTGGAGAAATGCATATTTTCGGAGCATCACATTCGTGTTTTACTCCGATTCATTTTTATGTCCACATGCTAAAAAGAAGGTATTTGTGCACTGGTAACTCTTTTCATCAGTTCCATCTGTAGACTAGAGGCTTCTCGAAATAACACCAAGTTGTCTGCAAAGAAGCGGTGATTCATCATCTGTTAAAATGTTATAAACTCTCCGGTTAATAAGAAAGTAGAAGTTATACGAGAGATAGAAAACATTAAATAAAAATATAGCGGATCGTGTGGTTGGTTTTCTTTGTATCATTATCTTCCTCTCAAGTTTCATGTAAGACTTGGCTTCATATTTTTTGAAAACTCATTTTTTAATCAAATAATCATGTATCAAGTTACACTTATAAGCCTTTCACTTTTCGTGCAATATGTGAAATGTCTAGAGATATGTGCGCATCTTCCAAGAAAGAAAATCAGTAAGTATTAGTTGTATAAGAAATGGTATTTTAATAATAACTTATCAATACACATAAATTGATCCATCTATTAAAACATTATATACCTTGTTGAGGGAACTACATACAGTGAATATCTTGTGAGGTTAATTGTTTTATCTGTGACACTATCTTCGCCATCAATTTCATGTGAAATTTGGCTTTATACTTTCTTAAAAACTTATGCTTATTTCTTAATCAAATATAAATCATGTTACTTAAAGTTTTAGTTTTCTTCCAAACATTCCTCATTAATGCGCGGGTGCATGTATGTTATATCTACTATAATCTGAAAAATGATTGCATACACGAAACCTGTACAAGAGATAGTAAATGATAAATGTAAGGAAAGAGAATAAATATCATCCGTGATTTCGGACTTGTTTGGTTTCTTGTTTTGGAAACAATTTTTAGTTTTTTAAAACAGAAAAATCAAAAAACTTGTTTGGTAAGTTGTTTTTAGTCTATTGTTTTAAAAAACAAAAAACAGTAACAAGTTTTTAAAAACAAAAAAACCAAAACAATTTTTATATGTTTTTTTGTTTTTGTTTTGAAAAATTTTGAGAAATTTTATTTTCTTCTCATCTACTATTCATCACTTATTATTATCAATCACAACTATCATCTAACAAGTATGGTTTTTTATGAGTTTTTTTTTAAACATGATTTTTTTAAATTATTATCCAAACAAATTCTTTTATTTTTTTGTTTTCAAAACTTGTTCTAAAAACAATTTTATAAAATTGTTTTGAAACCAAGAAAACAAAGAACAAAAACAAACAAGCCCTTTCATCTCTTTAAGTTATTGTCTTTTGTATGCATAATTTCTAAGTATAAAAATTCAATTTATACCTAGCTTATCAATACTTGTCTTTACCGACTTATTCCTTATAACACGATAAACCTTGTTAAGGGAATTACACACACACTTATATAGAATTCATACAAAAGATTGAGAATAATAAATAAAAAATAAAGTAAATCTGTTGTGTGATTGCTTCTATTTGTGTCACTGGGTTCCTCCATTTAAATGCATAAATTTTAATTGTAGAAATTCAATTTGTATATATAATCAATCTTGACTGACAATTAAGTGGGGGGAAAAGGTCATTTTACAACTTTGTAAAACAATTAACAATTAGAGGCTTCGGGGCAATGCATGAAGGCTCAGAAATGTAGACGCATATTTCAAAATAAACGGTAAGCTAAGCATTATGCACTGCACAAGAAACAACATTTCATTAATAACTAATTAGCACATACAAAAAAGTTGGTTCAGCTGTTAAAACGTGATTAGCATACCAGCTTATTAACTATTAAGGGGACTACACACGGTATTCATACAAAAGATAGAAATAAATATAAAAAGGGGAGTGAATCTGTGTGTGGTTTCTTTTCTTTCAGCCATTATCTTCTTCTCTTAATGCAGAAAATCAATTTGTATATATTGTTAACAATGAAAAGAACACGGCATTTTATGATTTCATTAACAAGTGAGAGGGCTGTATAAGGGCACTGAAGCATGCATAAAGCCCCATGCCAAAACATAAGCAACTCTCGCCTGTATAAAAATAATACTCAGACATAAAATTAGCAGCAATATTTTAGTAATAATTGACCCGTACATACAAAAATTAATTAAGATGTTTAAATGGGTTCAGCCAGCTAACAACTCATTTCATATGCACATAAAACTCGCTAAATCAAAATTCTTGATCACAAAAACATGTTTTGTTAAACAATAAGGAGGTCCGGTGCAATGTGCTGTTTTTGAAAAAATGAAGGGAAGGGAGCACCTTAAGGGCTCGTTTGGAATGACTTTTAAATAGTTTTTTAATCATAATTTATAAAATACAAGGTAAATATTTAAAAAAAAGTTTTGTTGTAATTTACATAGAAAGTACTAATACGTGATTTAAAACGTGATGACAAATCGCACTAAATCTTTTGACATTGTCTGAAGCCTTTGTGGACTAAAATAACTGACAAGTATAATAGGGCCTACACTATTTGAAGCCCAAAGTATATGGAACAATTAACAAGCCCACCTTAATAAAATTCAATCGGTTCCTTCATAACAGTAGGGCTCAACCCAAACAATTCAAACGTCAGTCCCTTTTTCTTTCTCAGCACAGGTATTTTCTTTTTATCACCGAAGCACAAGCATTTTCATAGTAGAGGTAATTTCCATTGATTCAAATGTTAGTCTCAGCTATCAACAATAGTTGGTCTAGTTGCTAAGGATTCGGCTTATAACTCACAAGATTATGAGTTCAAATCTCGCTGCCGATATGAGGACCTTATTGGTGGACGATTTTTAAATATCTCTGTAAACGCTTTTTTAGTTTGGAGGTATGCCCTAACCCTAATAAGTCCCCAAAACCCAACTCACTTAATAGTGCCAAAAAAAAAAGTTAGTCTCAGCTACCAATAGGATTGAGTCTAGTAGTTGCTAGGAACTCAAAGTGAACCAATATTTGAATCCTTCCTGTTAGAGGCACCTATATTTAGTACTTAACAATGTCACAAGATTGTTAGTCCTTCACAATGTGGTTAACCAATAAGATTATCTCCAATCAGTGCTTAGCTAAAAAAATGCTAGTCTTAGTTTGCCATAATTTTTTCTTCGATATAATTACTTTTAACCATAATCGGCGGTCAAACGAGCGGGTCTGCCGGTTGAGCCCATTGGGAGGGGATGGCTCTACCTCCTTTGTTATTGTCTGGTTCGGAGTGAAGAATTGAAAGGAATCAGGCCCAAAACAAACAAGGAACTTTGAAAGGAAGGTAGCACGGTTTGAGAACTGACCCTCCTCGAAATCGGGGTTTTGTGAGGTCAGAAGGATAGATTCTTTTTGACTAAATTGCTCTCATCTTATTTTGAAAATTATCATTAGTGATTCTTAATCATGAATGTGGTCCTTAAACATAATTCACTCCCTAAAAAATTGAGCACGTAAGATGAATACATTACATGACCAATGAGATAACCGGTTATGCAATACATGATGAAAGAAATAAACAAGGTTTCACCAAGAGAAACTCGGAGTAGCACAAACAAAGTCAATGTTCGCGTTCAACGATCTTCCAAGTTCTCATTCAAGTGCATCACCCTGACTACCCACATGTGGCAATGATGCCTCTAACTTTTTTCCAATTAAATGATGAAGCAGCACTCCCGCTGCAACACTAACATTTAAGCTTTCCACAGCTAAATATGATTGGAAGTCTTTACCAGAAATCTCACAATTCAAACCAGTAGTTTCACCATCTAATTCACTAGCAGTCAGATCAACAGGAATATTCCCAGGAATCCTAACTAAATGAGTACATGATTTCTCAACCAAAGGTCTCAAACCGGTCCCCTCACTGCCCAAAACAAGAATTGTAGGTGGACCAGGAACAATATCATCCAAGGAGACAGCTTTTGAGGACACAGAGCCTCCAAGAACTCGCCAACCGTTTTCAGATGAAGACACTAGAAACTGCATCATATTCTTGCAATATCTGAGCTCCATCAATTCAAGCGAGCCTGCACTTGCTTTGCTTACAACACCACTCAATGGGGCAGAATTTTTTGCACACAATACTATCCCAGAAGCTCCAAAGTAATAAGCAGACCTAATTATTGCCCCCAAATTTTGAGGATCAGTAACCTCATCCAAGGCTACCCAAAGGCAACCTCTCCCTTCCTCAACAGAAATAGGATCTAATTCTTTTATTTTTACCATCTCTAACGGTGAAGCATCTAACACTAAGCCTTGATGAGGGCGATTATCAACTACCATATTAAGGTCATGTTTTGATGCTTCTTTAACACTTAATCCAATCTTTTCAGCGATCCTCAGAACTCTCTCAAATCCTTTCTTGTCCTTCTTCTTCCTGTTGTTGCTACTCAAGTCCAGTCCTTCTTGTGCATATAATGCATAGAATTCCCTTCTTCCAGCTGATAATGCAGCCAAAACTGGTCCAACTCCATAGACTCCCTCGCCAACAATCTTAGGCACAGTTGATTGTGTGGCCTCTTTCCATGTCTTTCTTCCCCAACTTTCCTGCTTATTCCATCTCCGAAGCTCAGGTCTCTCTGATCCAGCTCTTCCTCCCGCGATCCCCCTGAATTTATTTTTTATGTTATCCCACCTTGGGTCGTCAATAGCCTCCTCTGTTTCATCATTACCTTCTTCTTCATCATCACCCAACTTCCCACGCCTGCCACCATAAACACTTCTCTGTTCTCCCACAATCTTCATTGACCCGTACCTACTTTCTTTAACTGCAGAAATTTCACCTTTTGTATTGAATTTTGCTGATGATAGTAAAGAAGAATGTCCAGATTCCAGAATTGTCGAATTCTCTAACCTTTGAATTGATTCTTCCCAAGAGGACCTGTAATTTAACTTCCCTGACCTCTTCAGAGATTCCTCCACAGAAGAACTGTTACTGAATTTCTTTTCCTTATCTGCTGATTCTTCTTGAATGGAGCCCCTAATGCTTGTCACTTTTGTCTTCCCCGAATCTTTAGCTTCCCTAACTTCATTTGACGCTAACCAAGGAAGTTGCTTTCCCGCTCTTCCCACACCAATCCCTTCGTTAACCTTCCCAGCGTAAGAACTCGAAAAACTTCTCGGCCTTAATGAAAGGCAATAACGTCCAGAACTTGTAAGCAGCAGCCCATACGAGACATGCCTAGAACTCACTAGTTTTCCCGTTTCCAAGGTTCCATGCAGCAATTCGGTTGAATACTTTACTGGATTCATCAAACAGAAGCTTCCAATTTTATTCCTGGCCTTATGTGAATAAAAATTGGGATTCTTTAACAAGGGGTTTTGAGAGGGTTTTGGAGCTGAGCAAAATGGTAAGCATTGGGTCTTCAACGCGTGGGATGATTGGAAGCATTTAGAACCCGGAGAAATCTTTGGAACCCGTGGAAAACCCTGAGCTCTGGTCAGGTTTGTATACATTATATGCAACAAAGAAACCGTATCTCGGAGATTAAAGCTCAGAGATGAATCTCAGAGCCGATAAAAGATAAATACAAGGGGAATCGAACTACCTGATACAGGAGTTAGGGGCTTTCGGAGCCACCATGTAAGTATCTTATCTACTTTCCATCGATAAGTTGCAGCCTTCCTGAAGCCTGAGCCGAGCCCGGGAGCACTAGGGCAGTCTACCCGCTCCCCAACGACGCTGTTTTAGTTTTGTGCGCTGAGCGCTGAGGATGAGAAGATTAGGCGGTGGCGAGACAAGATCGCAGCCGCAGGGGCGTCAATATTCATTCATTTTTATTTTTAAAATGTTCGGCAAAAAATATTTTGAAATTATAAAAATTATTTAATTTCATTGAAATTCTCAAAAGCAAGAAACAAAAAACCAAACCGGGAATTAAACCGGTCAAGGCAGTGGGTTAAGGGTTACTGGTCGAACCGTGGTCGGACCGTGGTTGGACCGGTCATATTAAAATAATATAATTTAACTCATAATATTAAAATAAAACAAATTCCATAAATAATATAAAAAAAATTTGATTTCTCTGTTGCATTTCGTTTACCCTCTATACCCATTTACACAACACAACCAAATATATTCCAATTTAAATACGGCTTATACAGTTATACTACGAGAGAGCAAAGCAAAATTGCATGTGTGAGACTGTGAGTGGAGGATTAACCTGCAAATCACCCATATTGTAGACTCTGCGAACCGGATTGTCATCGAAGCTGAGAAACTCAGCAAACAGAATAGAAACAGGGTTGCAATATTCATTCTTATGGAGCCGTAGCTGCTGCAACTATTATTGTTGAGGCTCATGTCAACATCAGCGACGGTGAGCTGGTCTGCAATGAGGTGTTGCTGAGAAGTGGAGATGGAATGCACTGACATAATCGAAGGATAGGTAGTGGTCGCGTGGTGGTTGCAGCTGGCGACGGAAAATGATCGATGGAGTTGGCGGTGCGTGAGAATGTAGGGTTAGAGTGTGGGTACATGGCTCGTGTTGATGCACGATATTTTAACCGGAAATCCAAAGCAGTTACTAGACGAAGGAGGGAGAAAGTGAGGGAGCGAGTGTCAGAGGCAAGGGAGAAAGTGTTTATGAGGGATGTGGAAGGAAAAGGTCGAACAAGGAGCCTCTGCTATCAACGATGCCAGGGAGCAAGGATCTTGGAGGAGGCGATTCTGGCTTGGGTTTGAGGGAGGGAGGAGCCTGCGCTGAAGGGGAATCAGGGAAGGGAAATGGGGAAAGTCAACGACTCAGCGAGAAAAGAGGCGAAGGGAGGTTTTTTTTAAAAAACCGGGTAACCCACTGAACCGGGTTACTCGGTTTAATACCGGTTAAACCGGTTTTTCACCGGTTCAATATATCCCCGGTTCACCAGTTAAACCAGACCGGACTGCAGACCGGTTTACCGGTTTTCCGGTTGAACCGACCGGTCCGGTCCGGTTTTTTTTTCCTTGCTCAAGAGATATCTATTGTTTATCATTGTATATTCAGTAATTTAAATTATTGAAATTGTTTATATCCATCTGGAAAACATTTAAAATTATCAAAAGTGCCATATTTTTTCCTTGAGGAAGTCACTTTTGGAGTTTGGATTGAACTTGCTTGTTATTTTGCCCCTTTTTGAGAAAAAGGTTTAGGCTTTTGGCAAGTTAAATTTCGAGAGCCTTTACCATTCAAAAGAGTTTGTAAATACTAACAAAAATACATCCATCCAATTAGTAAAAAATCGACTGACATGAGGTTATAGCTTCTAATACCCAAAAAAAAAAAAAAACAAGAAGAAGTCTCTAGATTTGTACGAAAAAAGAAAAAGAATTTATAGATTCTCACGTTAATCATAAGACTCAAAATTAAATGGAAGCAGTCTTCATGAGTTAGACCTGTCAAGGCTTCCGTGTTAATGACACTTCTACACATGGTATTACTCATATTTTGTTGGCAAATTTGCCTTTCCAAGATTGTCAAATACTCCATATGAATATGATATACCATTCCACAACTAAAGTTCACCATTCTAAATCAAATTCTTCACTCTACAACGCCATTAGTAACTCCGATAGAATCATTATTTTTCAGATAGAGATGTTGTCTTGTTGACAAAGATACATTGCAGTAATCCAGAGTTTCTCGAAGATAGTCCGATTATTAAACGTTATCGCACGAAATTAGAGGAGGAGGGGGAGGAAGAAAGGCCCACAAATCACAAAACTCTCCATTGATATTAACTCTTGAATGGTTCATCTTGTCCTGATTTATTCTCGCGCGGAACGGAAACAGATTACACTCCAGATAACTCTTCAAGTTTAGTTTACATTTGCCATGTTTATTCCTGCAACCAAAAATATAGCCGGCACTACAAGTTGCAGTAAGAATGAACTGAGTCCTTCGTTAAACTTTCCGAGAGGACTCCGGCATAATCCCATGGTTAAAAGCCCTTGACACTATTGATTTACGCTTAAAAAAAAAATGAACATATTACACATCTTGACGTAGTCATTAATCATCAAGTTTTCAGGACTCGTCAACTCCCAGGTACTGGGAATGAGAAGCTGCGAGCAGTGCTGCTCCAATGCCAGAACCATCATTAGAATGCTCAATGACAATGGTCTCAGCTACCTCATCTCCCAGCAACTCCTTCATCGTACTCTCCAAGCTACTTCTGAACTTAGTGTAGTGTTCGAACAATCCTCCATCCAATGCTATCACTGTTTTCTGCTTCTCCCCGACCTTGACTGTGTCCCTTCCTGTTTTCTTGAGGATGCCTAGAATGCCCGCAGCAGAAAGGCGGGCACCACGATTGGCCACAATGTCACAGACTTTGAGAACAATCTTCCTTGTCTCGAGGGATGTATTAGAAACCTGACAAAAAGAACAGCTAAACTTTCACTTCTCATGAAAAAAGAAATGCTACCTAAATAAATGAGTCTGTAACAAGTGAGGGTGATATGTGCTGAGACGAGAAAACCTCCACATCGAGTATGAAACTAGAGCATGCATACCTCAAATACGTCCCTCAATTTGTTTCCAACCACTTTCAGATCTGGAGAGGTATCATGATGCATGGTAGACATGTCAGGTGTCCTACACATCCCAAAACAAATAAACGAAAAAAACTCAGAAGCTTAAACAAGCAATAAAACAGCAATGTGTTCCCCTGCATATTTATAAAATTCAAAACAGGAAGATTAGAAAGTGCAATAAAACAGCGATCTGTTCTCCCGATATCTCATCATTTTGCACAACTATGCTGGAACAAAACCCCTTCTTTTTTTTTTGGAAAAAATTTAAAACAACAGGACCACACAGTTACATTTCCAAAACAACAACAAAAAGTGATGCAGCATTTGGCAGGGATGAAACTGGAATGACCCAATTTGCCAGAAATATAAAGGAAGAAATGAAAAAGGACTTGCCTATCACTAGGACTATCACAGTACCTCCAAAAGGATGCAGGATGAGATAAAATTAGCAATGTCACCAATCTGAACAAAAATGAAAGAGGCGATGATCCTCTGCTTAAAATTGTTGTTAACAATGAATTACTTTTCTCACCAGCATAAAACATGTTCATTCCGCTATGGTTTTTTCACTTGTAACAAGAGGGATGAAAACAGCTTTTCCACATTACATTTCCCACATTTTTTACCAAGCATAAAAACAGAACTGTAAAGCCTTTCCATAACTCCGTATTTTCACCCTCCTCAATTCTCTATGTCCCCCACCAACCGCCAATCACAACCTAAAAGAGGCAATCTTGACATGGCACTGCAACACTCTACGGTCAATAACATATCTCAAAACAAAGAAAATGCTGAGCGGATGTCTCAATGACCTAGCCACTTACTAGCGATAAGTTCTGGGTGAGAAACGTGAAATAAATGTGAACAATGATGCATTCCCAACACTTAAACCACAGCAACAGATAAGCAGGATAAAGTATCAAACACATGCTGCCCAGGTAGACACACAAGCAAACACCTCCAGCAACAAAATGGGCAGACGGCAATATAAACAATTTCCATCCTAGTTGTGTAGATGTAGAAGTTTAGTTGTATGAATCATCACACCTAAGTATGAATGGTTTTTTTAACTTTGGAGGCACAGTATCTCCAAAGAAGTCAGCTTCTTCAGCCATCTTCAACAATACTCTCCGTACAATCTCCCCCAAATACATGCCAGAAATGATCTTTTCGAATATCTGCAAATAATAGTGGAGAAGTGTTACAGATGGCACAGTTGTCGTTTAAATTCATGATGGATGATCATCACCTGTTCTCCAGGGTTTAGGCTCTCTGCGTCTAGAGCGTGATCATATTCTGTCAGAGGAAGATGTGAGGACCGGAAACTACCCCACTCCATGTTGATAACCTATATAATTAGAAAGTAGTGTGTTTGATTCAACACCAACTTATCACAGGCTGCTCTTAGTTTTGTTGTAAAGATAGGTCTACCATCCAAGAAATGAGACTTACAACCACAAATATTTATAACGTCCTTACCATCTCCCCTGATTTTGGCAGAGGACCATGCCACTTTGGAATAGCTTGTGCACGCTCTACATATGCAGCATTTGTTCCAGTACCAAGAATCACAGAAGCAACAACATCTGGGTTGTGGAATCTGCCTCCAGCTAAAGTTCCAATGGTATCATTAACCTGTATCAAATCGCTATTATGTACTGTTTCCTACCTAAGACATTAAATTACCAATAAAAATGGCAGTAACTATGAAACCTCATAACTCCAAAATTTTCCTCAGACATAGAATGAGAATCATCATCCTCAGAGCCTGAATTAAAAAAATAAAGAAACTAAAGGGATGGAAGTGGAACTGACTAGAGCTGAGACCCGCATGTCAATGCCAATTTTTTCCATAGACTTGGTTAATTCTCTCACCACGTCTTCTCCAACCTATAAACAAGGCAAAGAGAATCCATTAAGGCATAACAATCATATTATTATACTTGAAGAGTAAGAGCTGAGAACTGAAGAGATGATCACTAACAGAGAATTTATTCCTTTTTTTTTTTGGGTTACACATAGATATCCTCCTCTTGGAGACAATCCTGTTCGAGATACGATGAGACACTAAAAGAACATTAATATGATACATATGTTTACCATAACAAAGTTAGCACAGTAGTATCTGAAATCCAGAAATTCAGGACAAAAAAAGAAAGGGGCTTGTTGGTTTCTCTAACAGATAGAGAATACTTATGCATGTCTT